TCAGTTGGTGCACACTCCTGTGTTATCATTCGTCATAAAACTCGGGCCAAGCTGTCATAACTCAGTCTTTTCCTTGTCTTGACCTACCCAAGTCAAACATGTTTGATTCATAGCCCATACATAACGATGAATGTCACATCTTTACTTACTCCTGTTGTGGAATAAAGAGACTCAGAACACAGGATAGGACATTTTAGGGTTCACTCGTGAGAAGCCAAAGAATTAGTACATCATGATAATTTATAGTGTCTGACAAACAAGCAGTATCAGCTGACACACCTACAGCTTTCCAGTACACATTAAAAGGGGTTTTCTGTCACTTAAGCTGCTGTTTTCCCGATATTCAGACAACCAGCTCAGAGAACATTTGCTTCTCCTCACATAACCAAATTTGGCCAAAATCATGCCAAATCATTTAGCTGAAGTCACATCAGTATAATAAGTGTATGCCTGGTCATGTACACCATATTTCACACAATAAGAGTTTATATTTCTACAAAATACTCCCACTGTTCAAAGCTAAAGCCAAAATATTCCTGGTACGGCCGCTGCTATCTTGCACTGGTGACATCATTTGGAGCCAGAGTTTGCACAGTAATGATCTCTGTTATATCGTGTTCCTGCCTGTACACCCATCCAACTAATCACAAGCAGCACAAAAAATCAGGAGCACACCGATTGGCACACATAGCTGTCAATCCTGATGTCAAATCATCTTTCTGTAGCATCAAATAACAAATTAAAACCAAACAACAAACACTTGAACAAATATTAGCATGATAAGAACTACCTAAAATGACAGAAACCATCTGTGGGGAAAAAAAAAATCTGTGTATTTTGAGTTTTTACTTTGGCTCAGTCCCTTCCATTATCATGGCAGGGATGGGCTTTATGAGCTGTACTGCAGCCATCCACCAGGGGGCGATTGAGATATTTTGGCTTCACTTTCGGGGAGCTGTCATGTTGTCCATCTTTATTATATAGTATATCATTAAATATTATCCTGAGGTTTTAATCTTGACTCATGCAAATACTGAAGTTAAATGACGTGAACATTGTCAGTAATGAATAAGTGCTCTCTCCAGCCAAATTGACAAGAATATTGTCGACATATGACACCTTTAAGCTTGTGTTTCTAGAGTTAAGCATTTTTGTGGACACATCGGGATTGTTAAAATGTCACATTTCTAAAAAGGGAGTTTGGTGTCATATTTTCCACCAGAATCAGGATCGGGAATAATCACAAAAGGGATCTAACTGTAGTCTTGCAAATAGTGACTCTACAAGATCCCCAGTCTTTGCAAAATCTTATAGTCTGTGACTAAAACCTCACATTGTCTTTAGATGTGAGACGGTGTCAGGCTTTAGTCTTTTAAAAGTCTCTTCAAAGTCTTCAAGTGTATGGGAGGCGTAAGAGAACAAAGGGAAAGTTGTGTCTTGTGTCAGGGAATGAGAGAGAATGTGGGCAGAGTAAGAAGCCACTTATATAGACCAGGCCCTCATCTTCACACGGGTGCCCTCAGTCAGTCATTAGTGAGCTTCACCTAGAACACACAGACGTAGAGCAGACACACACACACACACACAACAATGGCAATAACGGCACAGAATGACACGTAACAGTTCCCTTGTACAACAACCTCAGCCGTGTTTTTCCTCACCGTGTTTATGTTTGTTTATAAAGGTTTAAAGTACCCACATAGGGAAGCAATCAGTGGTACTTGGGGGGTTATTCAGTATGTACGGGTGTGTTTGTGTGTGTGCACTGGGTGTTCCTGCCTTGATGGATGGATGCTTGTGGTGAGAGAGGGACTTGGCATTCATGTCCACTCACTGCCTAATAGCTTATTGAACAGCAGCAGCTAGCGAGGATTAGAAACCGCCAAGTTAATGCGTAGCATAGCCTGCATGTGTGTTTGTGTGTGTGTGTGTGTGTGTGTGCGTGTGTGTGTGCTTAATGTGCAGCCAGTATCCAGTCAATAACATGCAGGCCCTCATAAATCTGCGAGACATATTGGCCTAAAACATTTCACTCATCAATAGGGATTTATTAAAGAAGAGAGAAAAAGAGGGGTGAGGGAGGAAGGGGAGGGCGAGACAGACAGGAGCTGAAGAGAAAACTCCTCAATGAAACACTCAATCCAAGAACAGTAAATAAAAGTAAACATCAATTTAGTTTCTTACCAGCTTCCTGCTCTCCTTGTTGAAAAATACCATGCTACTTCCTGCTCTGTGTTCACTTAATTGCCTAAAATGTCAGCGTTGTTTGATGTCATTTAACCTCAACAGGAAGCTGCCCTTTAGATGCCACGGTGATATTGATAAACAAGAGGTTCAGCCGTCCCGAGCGCATTTCAAAATGAACCAATAAAAAACAAATCTGCTGAATTGCATGGTGCGATTATTGATTTTCAACATTTTAATTCACTTGAAAATGTTAAATAGGTTATATTTAAATAAATTATTAAGCAATGTTCCCTCTGCGAATAAAAAGAAAGCTGAGTAGGGAACTTCAGGAGCCATAGCCAAAACAAAACTGAGGGGGTACGTCTTATTTTTCTCCTTTAATCCCCAAAAAAAGACAGCACTTAGCTAAGAATTTTAACACATGGACAGATATTAAGTACAGCATGTCTTTGCATCAGTTTTGTCAGCAGCCAGTTTGCCTTCACAACAACAGGAGGTGGAATTACTTCAGAGCACTGTTTTTATCTTTCACTATTTTACCATATTGGTTAAAAGGAAATATCTTTGAAATGTGCTACCAATGGAAGCAGAAATAACTGCTCAGTTAATGCACTTTAAATGAATGCTTTAAATAGTCAGTGTCACAATAGAGCTGTAGGCAGTCCACTTTTTAACCAAGAAAATTTGAGACTATTTTGGGGGTTTTGTCTGTAATGATAGGACAGCCATAGATAGACAGGAAAGAAGGGATAGAGAGGGGGGATAACATGCAGCAGGGGGCCACGGGTCGATGTCGAACCCAGGCCGCAGCAAAGGACTCATCATGGGGCACACACTCTGCCTGGTGAGCTAGAGGTCACCCCCGTGGTACATATTTTACTTGGTGTGAGGTACTAAGCTGTGAGGCAACGGTAAAAACAGGGGTTTGTGGAAAAAGTTGAGTTTTTATTTAACCAAAAGATGCAAAAACAGTACAGACCAGGAACTTAAAAACTAGGCCTTTAAACAAGGTCAGCAAAATAGAACTATACTCAAAATAACAGCAACAAAACCAAGTGTTAACTGAACAAACTGAGCTAATAAAATTAAACCTGAGGGACCATATATAGTGGCTTGGCCAAACTATGTAACCCAAATTGGGGAAAACAAAATGGATGTTTAGCTAGAGCTAATACAAAGGAAAAACGCCCAAATCCCTCCTCTGACATGGCAGTAGATGGTTTTGCCTGGTGAGCTGGCCGCGGGATTTAGCAGCTCTCTGCCCTTGGCCACGTCTTTTGCTTCTGCAGGAAGAGACCTCCCACCAGCACAGTAACTCAAACAAAGAAGGCCAAAAATGATTAATATGACAGGAAATTACTCAAGCTAACCCTACAATTTGAAAACGTGTGCACTCCATTTAAACAGTGTATGGCTAAAATGACTGTGGACTTAAATTTGTACATGAATTGTTTGCGGTGTGGCTGCCTTCAAATAGAATTTACCAGTGTACTTATTAAAATAGTGAGGTGAGTGTGTGAACAATATTACCACTTGTGGCTTTTACTTTGTGTGGCCTTGGCCATCACACTCGGCTTTGGCCGTTTACATATCAGAGGGTGACTAAAGCACATATTGTTGTGCAATTTAAGATTATACACAGACTCCACTGGTCCAGAACTCGGTTGGCTAAGATTAGCAGTGATGTTGATGTTACGTGTGACAGGTGTAAACAGTCTTTAGCCGTGCATGTAATGTCACATGTTCTGGTCATGTCCAAAACTATTTAATTTCTGGGATTAACGTAAGTAGAGCCCAAAGGCCGGAAGGCTCATCCTGTGTAAATGGAAAGACTCTTCACCTCCAGAATGTGGACATTGGATTAAGGATGTTATGAATCATTTACAACTGGAGAAAATCCTTTTTTTTTTTTTTTTTTTTTTTTACTACTAAAGGATCAACTGCACACTTCTTAGCCACCTGGCAACCATTTTTTTTAAACTTTTGTAGCAAATATGGAAGCTGAAAAATTGTAATGAAACATGCTGTACTCCCCTACTGATGTCACACAAGTTAATTATTTTGTCGTAATTTTTTTCCCCATTTTTTACATTTATTTTTGATTTTAATGTATTTTTTTAATCTTTTTTTTCTTTAAAGTAATTTATTTATTTATAATTTCTAATTTTTCATTTCTTTATTTATTTTTTGTTCTTGTCTGTTGGGTTTCCTTTCGCTAGTCTGGCTTTCTCTGTTCCTGAGTTGGTGGGTGGGGTTGTCTTTTTGTCTTGTGGGTTCTGTGTTTGTTTGTTGATGCTCTGTGCATCTTTATTATCAATGAAAATACCTTAAAAAAAAGAGGGGTAACTTAACCCATTTGTTACACCCAGGATGTTAATGAATGTTGAAAGTCGGGGGTGGTAATATGGCTTTCAAGGGTAGCAATGTGTTGGTTAAAGGGAAAATTGAGATTTTTGTCTTAAAATACAAAAGACTTGATTTGTTGGTGGTAGGAAATTTTATACAAGCTGTTTTTTTAAGCTTACCTTTAAGTGGTATGTTTGACAACACTAATCTGACATCTATTTTTACTTTCAGGCTTTTAACTGATTGTTTTAAACTTAGTAATGCAAATAAGAATGTGCTGAACGTGACCTACTTGTACTGTATGTGTAATGCGGGCTCTCGCAGACATTCTCCCGTCCTTTAAGATGAACACTTGTGGTGGTATAATGACCACTTGAGTAATTGGGTGATTTAATGCTTGAATGAATGCTGTATTGATTGGATGATTGACTGACTTACTGACACGCTGATTGATCTTTGCCTTCCAGGAGGAGCCGTTTGTAATGGTGTCAGAGAACGTTCTGGGAAAACCAAAGAAGTACCAGGGCTTTTCTATTGACGTCCTCGATGCTCTGTCCAACTACCTGGGCTTTAAGTACGAGATCTACGTCGCCCCAGACCACAAATATGGCAGCTTGCAGCCTGACGGTCAATGGAACGGACTGATGGGTGAACTGGTCTTTAAGGTGAGGAGAAAATACATGCACAAACACATATGAGCACGCACAAACACACACAATACAAGAACAATGAAGGGGAATATTGGAGGACAGTGATGTGGGTTGGATAAATGAGGATTTGCAGGTATACTGTGCAGGAGTTATTGGTTGCTGTTTGTAAATGCAACTTTAATACTTGCCCCCTCATCCTTACACTGCTTGTACGTATGCTTCTCACCTACCCGTCTAACAGGAAGCAGGCGAACTCATTGTGCTGCTCTTCATCCTCTCTTCTCCTTCAATGCTTACCAGCTAAAGTGAAAGTGAAAGCAGACCCCAGACTCCCTCATGTCCAAGATTTTCATAGCTTCCTCTTGTATACATGTGGCTACTACCTGATCACTACCTTTTCATGAAGTCTTGGTCTTACCTGTACACAGTTTTGGGCCACCATTGCCCAAAATTAAAACATACAAACATCCTGACCACTGCAAATGAGATGAAAATAAGAAAATACAGGCATAAGGCAGAGTCTCGGCAGATTCAGACACCACCACACACTTCTAGTGGGCCATAGGTGATGATTGAGAGAGATTCTTTTGTACATTGTATTTCAGGAAAACCCTGCATAGTATGCCTTTAGGCTGTAGAGAGAATATGGAAATGGGAGTTTGTTGCTTCTCTATGCACACACACACACACACACACACACACACACACACACACACACTACTCCAATACACAGGGAGAAGAAGCACGCATGCAAGCAGACACATGCCATAGGCTTCACTTATGCAAAGTAGGACCACAGCCTCCTTTAGACTGAGTCTGCACAGTCTGGATTCCCATCATAACATTCCCACTAGAAATCATGTCACCTCAAAATTTATTCTCATTTTAGTATGAGCTATGTTCACTCGGCGTTTGCCTATTTGCGTTTCTGTCAGCACTGTGTCCGAGATCTTTGTAGCTTCCACTTGTTTACATGCTGCTACTACCTGATCACTACTTTTTCATAAAGTCTAGGTCTTACCTGCACACAGTTTTGGGCTTGGGGATAGCCACCATTGCCCAAAATTAAAACGTAGAAACATCCTGACCACTGCAAAAGAAGAAAATACAGGCATAGGGCAGAGTCTCGGCAGATTCAGTCACCACTGCACACTTCTAGTGGGTCATAGGTGATGATTGAGAGGGATTTTTTTGTGTGAGTCTATACATTGTTTTTAGAAAAAATCCTGCACAGTATGCCTTCAAGCTGTGGAGAGAATATAGAAATGAGAGTTTGTTGCTTATCTTTGCACACACACCACTTCAATGCACAAGAAGAAGAAGAAGAAGCATGCATGCAAGCAGACACATGCCATAGGCTTCACTTATGCAAAGTAGAACTATAGCCTCCTTTAGATTGAGCTTGCACAGTCTGGAGTCCCATCATAACATTCCCACTTGAAATCATGTCACTTCAAAAGCAAATATTGCATTAGGCTACCATAGAGCTGACTTTAACTTCTTTAAATTGGAGAGAGAAATTCAGACACTCATTCACTAACTATTGCAACATGTAGTCTGAAGTGGACATGAGAGAGGCTGACCTCAAAAATTCAGAGATGTCATATTGCATACGGGTGAAAACAGCGGCTTTCTGATAATTTGACTAGCTTCAAGTAGCTTCGAGTATCTGATGCATAACTTCTGACAGACACTTGAACTGCCTCAGTGAAAAGTTGAAAAGTGGCGGTGACATTTTTCAACTGGCTGCGAAGCTGTGAATGTGGATTTTACAAAGATGGAGAGGTTTACAGTTTGAGGGGAATGCAAAGGCCTTAGCTTTACCACAGCGGTCATAGATTGCAGGTTACTTGAGGTAACTCCTCCATTAGCACAAAGCGCATCACTTTCACTGCTGCATAACAAACTCGCAAATCAATCTTTTATTCTGCCAGTTTTATTGCCCTCAATTTAGATGCTGAAGCTGTCTCTTGTCTGACTGTCTATTCAGCTTTTCCAGCAGCCATTGGCAAACACGAGTGAATATTGGAGATTATTTTGTCAAAGTACTGAATATGTTTGATAATGTGATCCATCTGTTCATAGCCGCAGAAAGAAAGTAAGCAGCAGAGACACAGACCACAAGGAAAGGGATCTTTCATCTTTACTACACAGCCAGTTTTGGGATCAATATCACTATAAAAAAGTTGAATAAGTAGCAGCACATGCAATATTTTTGTACTCATTACAAGAAGCATCTGAATATACTGAATAGCTCATGGTTTCTCAGCCCTTCACTCTTCCGCTGGGGCCTTGGTTGCTTAAAACATTCATTGAGTGTAGTCATGTGGGGTCCCGCCAACAAAAGCCTTGAGCTCACCTCTGTTTCTTACAGTCACGCCATTCTTTTTTCCCCAAAATAGGCCAAGGCAGTAATAACAACAACAGGGCTTTTTTCCATTCAGTACCAGAACTATAGAAGGGCAATAGAGGTCGGTGTAAATTTGCCTTAAGCAATTGGACTGATCCCAAGTCCCACTTCCTGTAGTTACTGTTGCCAGGTTAGAGAAGCTTGGCCAAAAGAGACATAGCAATTCCAGTTCTGTTTAGCCGTGTGTAGCAATGTTTATTAAACAGTGTCTGTGCATCAGGCAGTATCTTCAAGAAGCAGACAGCAAGGACTACGGTATGCGATGGAGGGACATATGCACAGTGATATTGTGTATAGCCAACTAAATAACACCAAAAGTTACTTTGGCGCTGCAGGTAATGTTAGCCCCACAGAGATAATATAATCAAAGAAAGGTTAGCTTTGAAGTTTTCTGGCAAATGATGATCAACCCATTTGGCAGAAGAAAACATTGGCATTTTACGTTTCTGCGCACTTTTTATTTCTATCATATCAATGCTCCTAAAAAGACATAACATATGAGCTGTATTTGTCATCAGGCAGTGGAGAGCAAGGTGGTTGGCGCGTCACCTAGATGAGAAAGCTGCCAAGCTGCACACTAATGTAATGGACCTTTGCTGTGTTTCCATCTGTGTTTTTCAATCCACTTTCGAGGCTCCACAAATGGGTGTTTTGTAGCAACCCATCGACAAGACCACTGTTCCCTCTCAGGTGTTTTACTGCGCAATTTCGCACTGCCCCCCGCCTCTTTGCGCAGAAGAAAAAAAAATTGCGCACTCAAATATCCCCGACACAGTTTTCACTGTTTTTTTTCCTTCTCCTAATATGTGCTGTGAATGGTGAAATGTTAGACTGTAACAGTGAACATGAACGCACCCCATTGTGGGCGTTTGTCTATGCAATGAGTGACAGGTAACAATGTACTGTCAGTCAGTGATGATAAAAAAAAAAGCCCACCAGGCGCTTCCCAGCCAATCCTGCAACGGCTGTGTAGCTTGACAGCCAATCAATGGCATTATGTCGAGAAGCCGCTGTTTGTTGGCGCATTTGTTTTGTTGTTAGCCATTAGCAATGCAGCTATGGCTAAACGCGACGGCTCTGGCACTTTCTCCTCTGAAAATTGCAAGAAAAAACGCACGTCGTTCAAGTTGGAGTGGCTGTCGGAGTATATTCAAACTGGGAACGAGGCGCGGACGCCACCTGTGAAGCTCGGCGACATTTTTTCTTTTTCAACTGATATTGGAGTTGTTGGCAAGACGTGCAGTGAAGCGAAAGTTCAAGGCGAGTTTTCAGAGGGGAAAGTGTGGAGTGAATGGAAACTAGGCTACCTTAAGCGACACGACAAAAGGACATTGACATGCTGTGGATATTGTAAAGAGACGCAAGCAGGGGCTTGGGATTGGATCTTTACTGCAAGAGTGCACGGAGGAATGGCAGAAGAGAAACGAACTGTCACGTAAGAATTACAGCATACAGTTAACTTATGCAAACACACACACACACACACACACACACACACACACACAATATGTATACACATAAACTGTACACACCTACATACTTACAGCATACACATTTTGATATTTTTCTACACTGTAAAAACTTTTCATCCAGTACAGCACTGTCTGTAGCAGTAGTGCTGCTACGATTTTAGTTTATGTTTACCTGCACTATTTGCTGCCTGGCCACTAATATTTTTGCTAAATACAGTGGCACTGTCTGTAGTAGTACAACTACAGTTTAAGTTTACATTTAGTTTTGTGCTCTAGTATGTTTTATTTGTTGCAGTTTAGAGGCCTAGAGTACTTGACAATTACTAGGACTATTGTATTTTCTTACAATTTAAAATCTACTCTATTATCAAGCATACTTCTGTGCCAAGAAAGAGTTGATGTTATTGTTACTTAATTTGTATTCCAAAGAATGGTTTGCTCTTTGTGTAGGCATTACTTTCTCTTAAATATTTGTTTAATGTCTCCCAAGTGATTTTTATGGAGCACATTTTTCACATAATTGTTCACATTATGGCAGTAAATACTAAATCTATTTTGCCAAAACAATATTTTGTTGTTGCAGTACTTCATGTTGTTAAAATAATCTTATTATTAATCATAATTATAGTCACTTGTAATGATATTTGGGGTAGGAGAGGTGATGCCATGGTGCCGCCATGTGGACGTAGTGTGTATGCATCAGATGTCGCCCACAGTCGCTCAAGTAGTCACTCAGGGAAGGTGAATGCCTGCTCAGGAGTTTTAAAAATTAGAGGGAACACTGGACAAGACATGATCTTTTCTGAACCATAATCTGGTGCCAAAACTGAACCACTTTCCATTCTGAATGGACCACAAGTGACTTGCAAACGTGTCAAGTTTGTAAAAGACAAATTTTACTATTAAGCTCAGCGAATTTCTGGCACAGAGGTTTTATTTTGAAGTGCCATTTCCTGCTGTAGAGTGAGTGACTAATGGACAGCTGTTTGACAGAGACAGCAGACTAGCTCAACGACATGGCCAAACACAAGTATGATGCTGAATACATTAAACTGTGTGGACCTTGACCTAATGACTAAGGAGAAATCTGGATCCCATGGCTGGACCAGTTGGGAACCACTGCTCTACATAATGACTTGCAAATGTATGATATCTGTGGTTTGCAGAAAAGTTTAATGCCAACATTTTCCCTGGCAGCTGGGTGGCAATAATTCATGTCAACTTAAAAATCTGTCTATCTTTCCTTCTCCAAATATCTTCAGCGTTGCCACAGAAATAAGGAGGAAGCATGCCAAGCTGGTGTTGGCAATGAGACATTACGCCAACTAGCTCTATATTTGCTAGACAGTTAGCATGTATTTGCTAGCTGTGGCTGAAACTTAAGATGTGACTTTGTACGGTGTAATCTGGCTGTGACGATAGTGACAGTCCCTCAGCCACATCTCAAATCATCTTCAAAATTCTGTTTTCTTAGAAACACAGAAGAGCCTAGCACGTAGGATATCTGGGTGTAACAGAAAAGTGTAAAGCTGGCCGAGGCTCTGTCATTTGCTCAACTGTGATTGGAGCACTGAATTTAAAGAGGCAGGACTGTTGTGTTTCCCATCCTGGTTGGCACCAACTGATGACATATTTTGCGGACCGTCTTTGTCCGTGCGTTGTCACCTTTGAGGTAGCCAAACCGCTTTCCAACTACTGACGTGGTGAAACGTTTATATACACAATTGTGTCAGCTTTTGAGGATAACGCGAGCTCTTCTTTAGCTTCACCGCCGCTTTGCTCCTCACTTGCGCTCATTTTCCCCTCTTTTCGTTACGTCCACGCAACTTTCAATTCCTACTCACCTCGGCACAAACTTTGCAATGAAAAATAGGCGTGTACAATTTGTGCTTTCCCACCACTACACATTGACTGACAGCTGTTAACTTCTGCTGCGGGACACGCTGTTTTGATCTATCTACGTCTAAAGGTAAAACTGACCAAAGTTTATCATCGTCACCGACATACATGTTATTGTGATCCCATTGTGAGATCGTTATTGCTCAGCCTTGCTCAAGACAATGATTTGACAATAGAAAAAAACAATAGTAGCAAAGGCAAATTCTCAACCAACTATTCCTTCATATTTGTATGCAATAAAGACTGAGCTGGTCTTTAATTAACATTTCCAACTATGTATGTGTGTTTGTGCAAGTGAATGAAATATCTGTATGTGTGTGTACAATGCCCTTTGATGTCTTCCTGGAATTGCACTAAGCTGCTGCATATTTTGTTCATTCTTCATAGGTCAAGGATGTTTTTTTTTATTAGCAGCAATGTTCTCTCTGAAATTTCCCTTCATTATTTCCTTTTTGCTTTGTGTCAGGCTTGAATATTAGTTCAGCACCAGGCTCTCCTTCCCTTGACCTTGTATACTTGTGTGTGTGTTCAACCTTTGTATTCCCCCACCGATCCAACAGCTTACAAAATGATAGAGAAATGCTTTGAGCACAATGCATATTTATGTGTACACAGACAAGCACAGGCTGTAAATAAACCGAGCATTTTGTTTTCCCCATCAGTCAGCAACAAGGTTTATCTCTCCAAAAACCCAATTATACCAGATAATTATTACCCAGAGTGCTCTCTGGAAGTTTCCATGTTGACTGACCACAGCAGTCAGCACAGCGATTCATCTCTTTTCTCTCACGCACACACACACACACAGACTTGTATGCATATCGTTGTGTTGTCTCAACCAACAGGCATCCTAATATTCTTCTTATGCAGTGTAAGTGACAATTTCTGCACATTTAAGCATTTTGTTTCCTCACTCAACTGTGAAATTAGCCGATTTTTTTTTTTTTTTTGCCTACAGTGGATTGAAATTTTTGTTTGTTTTGTGTGTGTGTGTGGGAATATGGATGTAGTAAGCATGCAAGCGTGTGTTAAGTGTGCAGTCCAATCAGTGTATATATGTGTGAGTCCAGTGGCTGTAGGGCTTTGCGTTCCTCTACAAAATCACCTAACTTATTACAATAAGTTGTTTCTTGTAAATTAAATCTGATTATCTATAGAGTTTATATATTATATGCATTCCCTAGCATTAGTGTTCAAACATACATGCACACAACAGCATCTTAAATCCTTATTTTACAAGCAGATGTCTACAGCTGCTCGCCCAGCACTGGGGACTGAAAACATTTTAATTAGCCATTACTGTTTTTTGCATTTAAGCTGAGCTTATCCTATTTTTCTTGGCAGACATACTCACTGACAGCTTTTTTTTTTCCCAACTTAAAGTCCTTACACGTAAATAATTAAAGCAGCCATTTGTTGTCTCTTAAAATTCCAAGAATTCCAGATGATGAGAAAAGCTTTGAATGCTTTGAATAAATGAACAATTCAAATGCACATCAGAAGATGCCCAGTGCATGCTGCGTGTTACAGCGGGCTTATGAGAAATTCTTACTGACAACACACAGGCAAAACAGAGCCCAAAACACATAATAAGAATTAACTCTCCCTGACATCAGTCTTATTTTTCAGTCTCCATTTCATACCAAGACAACTTATTGAACAAACTTTGAAGATCATTGTCAGTTCCTTTAATGAGAAATGCCTTAGCTGCATTTAGTGTGCTATCTGTTGAATTAAAAAGTTTAACCCAATGTATCCTTGCTTAATTTCCATTCATTAAAAAACTGTAGATACATTGTTTCAGTAAATTCTGGTGCTGACTGGCGAGGTTAACAGGATGCAGAATTATTATGAGACAAAGGAAAGCAGTCAACCCTCATCATAGCAGGTTACAAAGGAGTCACACTCAGACTAAGGGTGGGCGACATGGCCCTAAAATCATATCATGATATTTCAGGGTATTTTTGTGATAGCGATATTCTTAACGATATGACAAATGTTAGTAATGTAGTTTTACTGCTAATTCAAAAGTTTGCCTTCAAATATTCAGTAAAAACTAAACAAAAATGATCTCTAATTTCTTTAGTTCATAAACAACAACAGTAACTCAGAGTGAGATTCAGATTCTGTGTACAATGTTAACAGTTCAACAAAATAAAATCTACCACAAATTACACATTTAAACAGCTCCCAAATACAGCAAATGTATCCTGGGATCTATATATATAAATCAACAGGTGATTTCCTTCTTTTAGTAAAACCCCAAATGATTGAGTTGCTTTGTTTCCCACCTGGACCTTTATGCTCTGCCATTTCTCCTTTAATCATCACTATAATCTGTGAAAGGCTGTTATGACACCAGAACTTTCACACATTCACATATATGTAGTTTTTATGTTGAGTCGCGAGCATCACGTGTCACGTAGGTTTACATCACCAAAGGTTTGTGACAAAATCCCTTGATGACACCGGCTCCCGTGTGCACACAGTGAGACAGGAGAGGCAGAGACACTGTGCTGCTGCCAGAGGAGCCGCTGAATGAGTTCCTTCTGAGCGGTAACTGTCTGAGAAGTCTGGGGCTGTTCATAAAACATTCAGGACGCCCAGGCATAACGATATCACAGTTTATTCCACACTACTACTCCTCTTTTTGGAACCACCGCAGAGTCGCTAATACTACTAACCCTTTCAGCCATGTTTGTTGTTGCCGTGCGTAACAGTATGACGTCAACATGTCAACACGTAGAAACATAGTGATTATCACAATATAAATTTTTCATATGATATTAAGAATTATACTAGTATTAATGTGAACGAGATGATATGGCACACCCCTAACTCAGACTATCTTGATGCCATGATTTGTTCCTGAAAATTCAGAGCCCATTCCTAGACTGCAGCAACGACAGACATTGTCCAAGAACTGATCTCACATTACGCAAAGCACATGTCAGATGTCCACTGTCAGTACATAGGCTACAAAACTCTTTTTTTCCCCACCTATTAATTATTTAACCCTCTGTGCTGCTTGGTATCCATATAGTTTTAATCATTTATATAGCTGTGGATATATGGGTGGATGGGAGAATGTCTTGAGAAATGTCTTATGAACCTTCATGTTAAGTCAACATGTAGGACACAAACATGAAGAAATACTAATAGTAATTTTAAAAAGAAGCTTTCACAACATTTCAGAATTTCTCATCAATATCTAAATTCAGTAGGCTGCAGGGAAGGCCATGGGAACACACAAAACCTTCTGAGAGTCTGGTTTTATGGTGAATTTATTCAATAGCTACATTTTGGTCGAGAGTAGCCATTAAATAAAGTGTGTGCAGGGCTTGTTTTGAATGATTGCTTTATCTCCCTCACGCCTGTGTGTTTACAGGTGCATAAAGACATCTTATTCTAAATGATTTGTAACAAATTATTTGCACTTACTTTCATAAAAAAGGGCATATAGTTGACAAAAGTCATGTTCTAAGATAACCCATAGTGTTTATCTACTTGAATCCCAGATGTTTAGCAGGTAATGGTAAAGTGTCTTTGTATTCACCATCTGAATGCGTAATGTAGATGGTGGGAAGAAACGGAGGCAGGACTTAAAGCACTTAACTTTCTCTGGGTACAAAAGACCACATTTTTCAGCTGTGTTCCTCACCTACACATTTTCACAGTGTTGACACTTCAAACCACTCTCTTTCCCCTCCACCTCTTGCAGCGAGCCGATGTGGGACTTTCTGCCCTGACCATCACACCTGAGCGAGAGAGCGTCGTGGACTTCACCACACGCTACATGGATTATTCTGTGGGCGTTCTGCTGCGCAAGGCCGAACGCACCGTGGACATGTTTGCCTGCCTGGCGCCCTTCGACCTGTCACTGTGGGCATGCATCGCGGGCACCGTGCTCCTCGTCGGCATCCTGGTGTACTTGCTCAACTGGCTCAACCCACCTCGGCTACCCATGGGATCTGTGTCCTCGACTACGCTGTACAATTCCATGTGGTTCGTGTACGGCTCCTTTGTACAACAAGGTAAGAAAACAATGAGACATGTTGAGAATGAACATAATTCCTGCTGCTTACATTTTCTCCAAATGTATAAGGTGAAATCAGTTAGTATATGATGATACTTTTCAGGTAACAGGGTTCCAAGTATTTTTGTTTACTTGTCACATGACGTACCATGAGATTGCCTGAAGTGATCTTTAACTAAAAATGGCAGTTATGAGTGAAGCTGGCATGCTGTTCACTCTTTTGTAGCCTTTTAATGAAGCAAGTCAAGCTCTATAATTCCGGGGCTCCCAGAATATTTTGCACACTTTCAAAGTTTACGATTGTTACTCCAGCTGGCAACCAGAAGGTGCACAGAAGAGTGGTTGTTTAATATGTTGCTGTAGGGATATGTTCAGCAACATACTATATTTGCAGGGTCTATCTCAAAGGTAAGAGACAGAGAGAGATAACGGGAGGGGAGGGAAGCACAGAAGAAAATCAGTGATTGCTAAAGCAATCTAATGTCAGAAATCTGATAATAGCTGTCCTCTGGGTGTCGTAAGCGTGGCTTGACCTTTCGTGTTTGAGCACAATACTCAAATGAGAACAAAAAGGGAGGAGAGGTCTTGTTCCACATGGATTGGAGGATAATGACCTCATCCTGGTTGTCTACCCAAAGATTTTCCAGAATCCACTGGGCCGTGCTCAGGTGTGGTGATTAGACAGTTGATGTCCAGGGAAGGATTTAAATTTCATCAGTGCAGGATCAGAGCCATGACGAGGAGAGGAGAAGGTGGAAACAAGGGAAACATAAGATCACATCAGTGTTCATTGTCTGTTTTCAAACTGGTTTGTGTGTTTCATTAAGTATCTGTTGAGAGTAATATGCAAGAGAAACACTAAATATTTTTATATTTCTAGGCTAATGGTTGTGTTTTTGTCTGGGTGGCGGTGCATGTGGTTTGCTGCTCAATAAATAAGTAACTGCTATTTTCCAATGAGCACACTGCTCCAGGACTCGCAATAGTTAATTTTTAAGCTACATTAATTATGCAAAATTTAGGAGGATTTTTCCCCCTTTTTTAACACTCCCTATGAAACATTTCAGACCCTGAATAAGCAACTGATGAGCGTTCCACCGTTTGGTAAATAATCCTCCATCTTGTGCTGCAGCTAATGGTGGTAATGATGATGATGATACATGCTAATTGCTGTTTGATATTCACAATCGTTTCTCTTTTTGGCCGTAATTAACATTTTAGTCATGGCATCATTAGAGAGAAAAAAAGAGCGAGAGAGAAAGGATCTAATGCCTCAAGAATGGGTTTGTCCTTTGTGTGGGTTTATGCTGGTGTGTGTGTGTGGCTGTGTGTTGGGTGTATACTGTACAGTGTGTGTGAATGAGTGTGTTTGTGCGCGGCATCAGGTGCGTCTTGTTCATGTTCGGGAGCAGTGCTTTAGCCACAGGTAATTCGTTTCTGATTTGGCTAGCCAGAAATATCTCTCAGAAAATTAACTGAGCATGAACAGACTACTGCCTCAAGGCTAAGTGGGCTGACCTTCACTGGCTTTAAAAGTCACCTGGAATGTGGTTTACTTTCATCCCAGCAACCATTTTGTAAAGCAGAGATCTCATCTTTCAGCCCGGGATGACTAATTATAGAATTAAACTACATCCTGACTGACAAATTAGGCTTCATTTGACAAAGGCTTATAAAGTCAGTGGCAAAAAAAAAAAGGACGTACAAACAGGCACAGGAATATTCATGCAGCAGCTCTCTCACTCTATAATGTCCCAGACCTTTGTGCTTCACCCTGAAATATTACCCTTAGGGAAAATTGATTCAGATGCAAAGACACACACACCCACAGCAGGGGGGAGCTGGAGATGAGTGTTGAGAGGGAATAGTCAAACATGACGCCAGGATTTTGCTTTTGGCTATGTCACTTTGACTGTGAGAGGAAGATACGGAGAAAGGGCGAGAGGAGAAAGAGGGAGGTGCACAGGGATTACACTTATATCTCTCAACCCCTCTCTTTTCTTCTTCTTAAAACCCACTTCCCTTTCTTATACTTTCTTTCTTCTTTCTCCCTTTCATCTTTTGCTTTGTGTCCTTCCGTCCCTTCTCTTTAACATCTTTTCTGCTGTCTTCCATTCATCCCTCCTTCTTTCTTTTCTGCTCCACGTGCCCGCCACCCATCCATCAGGGCAACCAAGCCAATTGGCTGTCTGTTTACAACTTCACCCAAAGGTCTCTGTGTGGTGTGTGTGTGTGTGTGTGTGTGTGTGCACGTACATTGGCCAACAGAGGGGGAGACATATAGAGGCAACAAGAGAGGGAATGGGAATAGTGGGGGAAATATCTATACACCATAAACTATGTCTAATTGGTCTCAAGGAGAGTGAAAGAGGGAAAGAGAAAGGGAAGAGGTAAAGAGACACAATGGGAAGGACTGCATCTGACAAAATCTGCTTTGTTAACTGCTACATCAAAGGCCTGAGAAGAAATCTTGGGATTTGCTTTTTATTATTCAACAGTAATACAGTAACTCCTCAAACCAAAGAACACCTCAAAGAGCAACTTTGACATAAAAAATATTAAACTGTTGCTCACAGACTCAGTGCAGCAGGAATACAGAACAAATAAATAAAAAGTCACTAGTCCCTCTTGCATACATAATAACCTCAGCTTAGTAATTGCGAGAGGACATTAATATCGGCAAAAGGCTGTGATTGTTTCCCTCCAGTCTTTGAAAAAGAGGCAGAGAAGGAGATTGGACATAAATTTATACAGTGCTCGCTTTACAAGCGACCATCAGGTGAGGTGGATATACAGCAAACTCGATCGAAGCAAGGTCAGACACACCAGCAACTGTGATGAAAAGTTGTACATACTTTAAAGAGCAATAAACAACACTGAGGGAGTGAACTGAGCAGACTTTGGTACAAACGATCAAGAAATAAACTATAGAAAATAGGGTAACACTTTCCTTGAAGGTATCTACATAAGAGTGACATGACACTGTCATGACTATGACATGACACAGTCGTGAACCTGTTATAAACATTATGTACATGTCATAAACGTTTATGACTGCTGTCATTAAGTGTCATTCGGTTTTTGTAATGACAAGTTGACATTGTTTGGGTTGTCTTTATTATGACAACTTGACATTAATTAAAGTGACATTACCAGAAGCTGTCTTTGTCATGACAAGTTGACCTTAAATTTGTTTGGGATGTCCTTATTATGACAAGTTGACATTAATCAAATCGACATTACCAGAGGTTGTCTTTGTCATGACAAGTTGACATTCAATTTGTTAGGGATGTCCTTGTAATGACAACTTTACATTAACCAGGATGACACTACCAGACGTCTTTGTCATAACAATAATAATCATTATGTCAACTTGTCATAAACACAAAAAGAGGTGCATTTCTTGTTAATGTCAAGTTGTTATGACAAAGACATCTTCTATTAATGTCATCCTGGTTATTGTCAAATTGTCATTATAATGACATCCCAAACAAATTTAATGTCAACTTGTCATGACAAAGACAACTTCTGGTAATGTCACTTTGATTAATGTCAAAGTGACACTTAATGACAGCAGTCATAAACGTTTATGACATGTACATAATGTTCATGACAGGTTTATGACCGTGTCATGTCATAGTTATGGCAGTGTCATGTCACCCTTATGGGGGTCATGCCAAACAAATTTAATGTCAACTTGTCATGACAAAGACAACTTCTGGTAATGTCACTTTGATTAATGTCAAGTTGTCATCATCAAGACAACCCAAACAATGTCAACTTGTCATAACAAAAACTGAATGACACTTAATGACAGCAGTCATAAATGTTTATGACATGTACAAAATGTTCATGACAAGTTCGTGACAGTCTCATGTCATAGTTATGACAGTGTCATGTCACCCTTATGTCAATACCTTCAAGTAAAGTGTTACCGAAAATAGAATGTAAGCACACAGGTCGATGCTGTTTCTGCTGTGTTGAGTAAATACTTTTAAATGCTGTGCAACTTGAACTCAAAAACATGCAGTGGTGGCAGCCAGCAGAGACCTCATATCGTCACGCATTTGTTCTGGATGTTAGTTTTGGTTGCACTCCATCTGTCTTCTTTGGAAAGCAGGCCACATCTGCAATGCTGCCAACACTAATGAAATTTTGGGTGTTTCATCAGTGAGAACAGTGACGGCGAGAGATGCAGGAATATGAGGAAAATCATACGAAGGTGAACACACCAAAGTTAAGCAAGAACTGAAGACAGAATGAAGTATGTAAGTGGTGTGTGCGGAGAGGAAGATGTGGGAGAGAGGACATGATTTAAAGAGGATGTGAAATGTTTCCTAAGGAGATTAATTTTCAGCTTCAGTTGGGTTACTCTTTGGCCCCGGCTGAGGTGGGAAGGTCATTCCAATATTTTTCAGAGCCAGGAGGGAAAGGAGTCAAGGCTGGGATGAGTGATTACCAGGTCACATTATTAGGAGGGCCAAGCAGACAACATTAGCAGAGTGCAGGGCATTGACGGGTTGGTATGTAGTGCCTGGACAAACCATGGCCTGGAGGGATGTGGATGTGCACTCATTTGCAGTCTTGTACGCCAGGTTTTGGATCTGAAATGAGCCACCACAGGCAGTCTGTGAGGGGAGAGCAGGACGAGGGTGACGTGCAGGAATTCAGGAGAACAGAAAACAAGACTGCCCGCAGCAGTTTGGATGAGTTGCAGTGAGTGCGGTCGTAGGAAAGTTGAAGCACCCCAGACCGAAGTTTGAACAGCCTGAGCAGAATTGCTGATAAGGAAGTGTCTACTTCACTCAGTGTTGTGGATGATGGTAAACCGGCAGGAACAGAGGAATGTGCATGAAAGCAAAAAAATCCTTTGTGAGTTGGACACATTCATACAGGCTGTGGAATGAAAGTGTTATTCACAGTCAAAGATGATAATGCTGCTTAAATTACAGCCTGTAGAGTGGATTAAACGTAATTTTCTACGGATATTGGATCCAG